GTTCATTTCGTTTCCCTTCCTCTTCCCCCCTCCCCGCCACCGAGCCAGGCCCGCTTCCACTCCTGCAAAGCGCCAGCTCCAGAGGGAGGCAGAAGCAAGCGGAGCTATTGTTCTGGGTTTATTTTAATCGCGTAATCGGTTAAAGGTTGTAAACGCGGGGAAATTGCAGCAAAGCGGTGAAGTAAACATTTTGCTGCATGGATTTGCATAAATACACCGGTATCCCTAGAGTCCAGGAAGGATGTGGGGCTGGTGACGGCAGGTTTAAGGAAACCCAGTCGCCTGACGCAGAGAAAAAATTCCTCGCTTTTCAAAATATAGTACCGCTGCCAGTGGCACCGGCACGTTGGGTCTCCGGCCAGGGAATTAGCCTTTTTCTTCTGCTGCGCTTGCGGCCGAGGCTGGGCGCAGCGGGGTCCTGGCGGGCCCTGCCGCGGGGAGAGCCGTGCTGCTGCGGGGGGACCTTCACATCCGAGCGGAGCACTTCCTAGGCTAATATTTGTCCCGGAAAGAGCTGCTGCTGTAGTTGTTTTTAATTGCCAGACAAAGAGAATAAAATTAAAATATTCCTGACAAAGTTTCCGTTAGCGTCACTCTCCCTGGGCCGACCGGGAACGCAGCCACGCAGGCAAAAACAGACTTCCTTGTGCACACATCATTTGCGAAGGCCTAGCGGTGATTGGGATCGTCCCTGTCTTGTTTATTAGGAAAAATAATAATAATGAAAAAATGTATTTGTTAAGGTATTTCCCCCCGTAGCCTGGCAGCTGAATCTCTGCCTCATTCGTACTTGGAGTCTTGCTAAGAAAAAGAAAAGCGAGCCAGAAACTGGCCCGGGCGGTCAGTAAACTGCCGGTAAAACCGGAGCCATCGAGCTCCGGAGCAAGCAGCGGTATTTCGTCAGGAAAAAGCCGTCGCTGCGCTGGTCGCGGCTGCAGCGGCGGCGAGAGGCCGCTCGTGCGAGCCGCAGCGCGGATCTACCGCGCCTTTGGTTTCCGCGGAATTTCTCCGTTCCCACGTCGAGCAGCTCTGCGCGGCCGTGGGCGCTGCAGAGCCACCGCGAAAGGTGCCGGTGCCTCGGCCGAGGGACACGCTGCACGGGTGTACTATTCACGGGTGTGCAGCTGCCTGAAGCAGCGCTTTAAAAAGACTCCACAGCTGTAGGAGTGTTTATTTTTGTTAGCTCTATTTTCGAGGCAGGTACAATCAACACGCAGGCCGCTGCTGGAGGGCTCTGGCTATTCCCTGAAACAAAAATTGAGCAAGAAACACCCGCAATATTCCGACCCCGAGCCGAGCATTCCCTGTGGACACGGGGCCGTTTTTTTTAGTCTTTTCGAGTACTTTCTAAGAATCGGATTTTCGCCGTTGGTGCCCCAGGTGCCAGCGCCCCCGGGAAGGTTTTGTGGGGGGCGGAGGCGGCCCCGCCCGGGGAGGCTGCGGGCAGCGGGGGCGCGATGACAGCGCCCGGCACAACCCGTGGGCACCGCACGCTCCCGCTGGGCAAGCGGCTCCGACTGTTTTTAAGTCGGCGACGTCTTCGGCTTCAGCAGCGGGCGCTAAAGGAAATGCGGCTTCTTTTAGGGCCCGGCGGAGCGGGGGGGGGATGCG